TATCCTTTTTGTAAGAAAAGCTCTTGTGTCTATGTGTAGTACTCTGAGTAACTACCTTGAAGGTAACGGTATGCGGTGTATTAACTACTGCTGTTATTTTGTTATATTTTGTTTTTATTTTTTCATAAAATAAAATTCTGGCTGAGGCTTCAAGACAATAGGCGCAACACTCCACGGGGACATTGGGCGATGCAAAGCTTGCAGAAGGAGGTATGTGCAAGGGCTCCCCTACTGCCAGGGTGGCTAGGGAGAAAATGGAGAGGAGTGGTGAGGCAGGGGAGGTGGCAGAAGAAGATTCCCCATGCAGCCCCGGTGTTGCTTCTGGGAACACCCCAGCCTCTCTCTTCCCTCCTGATGCAGGCAGTCCCTTTGGTCCCCTAAGAAACCCTTGCCTTTGGCATTTTCCATTTTCCTTGGAGACACGGAGTACAAGGGCCTCCAGGGCCCAGCCTCTTGGAAACAGAAGCTAAAAAGGGAAGTAGTTTCCGAGGAGTCCCCCACCTGCCCTTGGCAAGGAAGCTGTTTCTCCTCCTGACAGGAAGAAAGAAGAAGGAAAGTAGAAACCAGGTAATCTTTTAAAACTCAAGCTGTAGTATTTTTAACCAAATTGGGACCATGTCTGATGTCCTGTTGTTTGGAAATGATACCTCCCACTCTTCCCATCCTAGTAAGTGTCCTCTGAAGTCGTCTGGTGCTTAGCCACTCCTCAGGGCTCCATCTGTTAGAAGGAAGCCGAAGAAGCCAGCAGCATGTGGGAGGGCCTGACTTTACCTGTGGTGGGAACCTAGCAGACACCTCTGCCAGGATGGACAAAACCCATTTGCTGCAGAATGGAGCTGGGCCAGAGAGGTTCACCACCTCACTGCTGCCCCTCAGGCATTCTACAGTGACCAGATTCTCAGCCCTCCTCCCATCCACTCTGACTCACTGGGACTCCTTGGGGCTGGAGGGCTCCAGCATTCACAAGGACCCTTGTTGCTTCTGCTGCAGGGAAGGCACTGTAGCTGAGGTGTGCCAGGAAAAAAGGCTTCAAGAGCACAGACAACTCGCCCAACACCTTTGCTCTGAGGCCCCCTGGAGTGCTCATGTCTACCTCCACGCCAGGGTGCTAGGGAAAGCTCTTCTGGGTTTCTCCCAGCCCTCTCCCTTCTATCCTGGCCTTCTCTGTCCCTGCTGTCATGTGCTGTCTTATTTCTTCCGAAGGGGATATGACTCAGCAACAACTATTTACTCTACAGCTGCCTGAGTTCTCAAACTACTCCCGACTGCCACTCAAGTTTCCTCTACAGCCTGAAATCCTGACCGTTTCTATACCACGCACATCACCGGAAGTCTGTTAGGAGTGCAGAATCCTGGGCTCCACCCAGACCTAGCAACGCAGATCTGCAGGTGATCCATGTGCACCTGAAGCCTGCTGTTCCCAGCTGTTCTCACTCGGATGTTTTTCCTGATTGAAGCAATTCACCCTAAAGTAGTGACTTGCAACCCTGGTTGCATTGAGAATCAACTTTATGTGCAAAATGTGTCGATGCCTGGGGCCCGTCCCCTGATTAACTAAACCAGAATTTTTATTGGGGTGGGGCTTATTCATTTATATTTTTAAAAATACAGTAGTATGAATGAGTATAAGTGGCTAAAGCTATTGCTTTAAAGATTTAAATATTTTAGGAGGATATTAGGAAAAAATAAAGCTGTTCTAAGTAACCAGGTATGCACAACCCTCTAATAGTTTTCCATAAAATTCAGGATAAACTTCAAATCTCTCACTTTAGGACACGTGGCCTTTTTAGACTCTGAGTTCTACTGACCTCTCTAGCCATCTTCTGTTTGGCCTCTCCTGACGCCTGAGGCCACACCCCAGGACCTGGGGTCCCCTGCACAGGCCCTGCTGTCCAGTCCCTGAGCACCACTGCTCACGTTCTCTTTCCTCAAAAGGCTTTCCACTTCACTTTGCCCCAGCAAGACTGGACTCAAGGAACTGTCCTTGGAAAACTGTTTTGACTCCACTCTCCTTGGGGGAGAAAAAAAGATAACACCTAGTTTCAAAATTAAATTTTGCGATTATGTTTCATGTTCTAGCTATTGGCATTGCCAATTACATCTCAAACCCAGGGCCCCATGTAAATTTAGGAGATCGTCTCCTATAAGCTGTTCTGTCTAAGCAACCAGTCAGAAAAGGATAAACATTAAAATATGCTCATGTAGAGATGGTCCTTCAACGTTGTTTAAATCTCAAATTTATTTAAACTCCAATAAATACAAAGGCCAGTGACCCTAGACACAGGAAATAGTCAATTTTGCCTCCTACAAAATTATTGTGTGTACCTAACCAAAAAAAGAAAGAAAGAGAGAAAAAAGAAAGATTTTCCTTCGCTGGAGAAGCACTTTTGATATATCGTGTAATTCTTAATCATTTGAAATCTAATTAGAGACATAAATTACTTTTTCCCACTTTTGGTTGATTTTTACCAACTCCATGAAATGAACATTGTTTTCTGTTTATTTCTCTATGTCCTTCCTGGAATAGAACATGAGGAGAATTTTGGATTTACTTTTCATATTTTATGACCTACTTATAATATGTGAACTTCAGATCAAATTAAAATGAGTTTAAAGGCCCATGAGAAATGTTCAGACCTTCTCTTGCATGAATTATGTATTAACTTGCAAGAGAAGAATGTAAACACATCCAAAATATGTGTTCAGTTCTGTTCTTATTTTCCTTCTACCCTTTGGAAAGACAGGAGCAGGCCTGTGCCAAGGATGTGCATTTCTTCTCTTGAATGTTTTGCTCTCTAAATCCTTCCTGCACTATCTGCCAAGAATTGGCTTGAAGGAGATGAAAAACAGTGTTCTCTTTAAGGGAGGACAAGCTGCTTCATTTGTTTGCACAGAAGTATTTACTGAGGAGCCCCTGTGACCCAGGTAGGGAGATCGGCCCTTTTACCAGCGGCATTGCCTCCCGTCTGCATCACCGATGCCATGACAATTTCTGTCTCCTCTTGGTGGACTTTGCCTTCTTCACTTCTCCACTTTCTTCTCCAGGTGTCTTGTTTTCTTTCTCATTGCTGGGACAAAATACTCAACACCCACAAGCTAAAAGAAGAAAGTTTTATTTATTTTACAGTTTGTGGAGGTTTCAGACGCTAGTCAACTGGCTCCAAAACAGGATGGTATGGCAGAGGGGCATAGCAGAGGACAAACAGTCCATTGCAGGGCAGACAGAAAGCAACAGAAGCAGTAGAAACCCTCCCCTTATATTCCATCCAGGCTACAGCACACCCAGGATCGGCCTTCCCATTGCCCACACCCAGAACTTGCTAAACCCATGAGTGGACTAATCCAGTACCACACACCTTTAATCCCAGTATCACACAGTCGTGATCAGCCTCTTCCAAAAACCCCACTTATGAGTGCATGAGGCTTTGGGGGTACAACTAGATGCAAGCTATAACACCAGGCTCCTGAAGCACCATGCCCTCCTGGCTATCCTGCTCTGTCCCTGGCCACTCGATCAGATCTGTACAGTGGTACCTCAGCTCACAAACTTGATTCTTTCCATGATTCTGGTTGCAAACCAAGTTGGACAAGAATCAAATCAAATTTAATGGTTAGGTTCAGTGTTGACTTATGGGGAAATTTGATTTGGTTCTCATCCAGTTTGGTTTGCAACCAGAGCTGTGGAGAGAATTGAGTTTGTGAACCAAGGTACCACTATAACTTCCTGTTTGATATTTGTTATGGCTTGTATCTGGATGTCCCCTCAAAACCTCACACACTCATAGGTGGGGCTGTGGGAGGTGTTAGATTATGATGGCATGATCTTCACCAATGGGTTAGTCCTAACTGTGTTACTGGAAGGTGAAGCCTGGTGCCTGGTGGGAGGAAGTGGGTCACTGGGGCTGTGGCCTGGGCATGTCAATCTCCCTCCCTCCTGCCGATCTCTTTCTTCTGCCATCATGCTATGAGCTCTTTCTTCTCTGCACACAGTCCTGCACTGGTGCCTGGGAGCCAGCTGACTATGGACTGAAACCTCTGGAAGCTGTGAACCAGAACAAACCTTTCCTCCATAGAGCTGTGGGTGTCGGGCGCTGTGTCTAGGAAGAAGAAAGTAACTAGGACACTAGTTAGTAACTATTACCATTTGGATGCCTGAGAGCGAGCTCAGAGAGCACCCTCCTCCCCAGGCCTCACACCAAAGCTGTGCCTCCCTTCTGTGTGCCCCATGTAGTCATTTGCTTTACTTGCTCAACCCAAAACCTAAACATTAGAGGTTGTTACAGAAGCCAAGCTCACTAATCAGCTGTGCAAGAGCAACATCAGAGGCCAGGAACCAGGCCGTATGACTCTTCAGCAACAATCATGTCCACATCTTCTACCATTTTTTTTTCTGGTCCTCATGGCTGCAAGACGGCAGCCCCACTTCCAGCCTCACATCTACACTCCACTGGAAAGGAAAACGAAGGCACTAACAAGGTGGAGGGTAGAGTGTCTGTAGCAGAAATAGCAAAATGCTCTCAGAAATTCCTAGAGACGTGCGCTATCTCACTGTCCAGAACTGTGCTACGGGCCCCACCCCAGCTGTGTGGAAACCTAGGAAATCGCGCTTTGGGGTTGGGTACATTGCTGCTTTGCAAAAACCTGGGTTCTGCTGTGTGGAAGAGATGGAGAATGGAGGTCAATAGGCAAACAGCAGCGGCTGCTGCCACCCTGTGCAGTGACTTCCTCAGCAGGTCCTTTTGGTCTCTCCTCCAAAACACTGTGACCCGAGCACTTCTCACCTCCTTTGCTGAAACCTTGGCTGGAGACACTGCTGTGTCTTCTGCAGACCACAGCAACAGCTTCCTAAGTTGCCTCTGTCCTCCACTGTTACCTTTCTTCACCCAGCACTTAGAGAAATCTTTTCAAGGTCGAAATATAAGGGTATCCCTGCCTTCCTTAAAATTCTCCTAGGAATCAGTCATAGTCCCAGTTCCCCAGAAGCAGACCTTGAGACAGGATTTGCAAGCAAGTCCTTTATTGCAGAGGTACAGGAAACAGGTTGGGGTGGTGTAGTGACCCGAGGAAGGCAGCGAGGTCCTCACTGCGCAGAGACTTTCCCCGGGAGGAAGCACTAGGAAGTGTAGGAAGAGCTCATTCAGAATGGCCCCGCCCTAGGGGTAGGGAGGGTATTTACACCCCAGCCCCAAGGGCTGCTGGCTTCAGCTCTGCCAGCCTGAGGCCCCAGCCCTGAGCGAGTCCATAAAACACCTCTCCCTCCACTTTTCTGCGTACAGACCCACATAGCTTCTTCCATTTGAAGTAGAATCACAGAGTACGGTGAGATCCAGTTTATTTTTTTAACAGGGTAAAAAGTTCAAAGTACAATTTAAGGATGAGAATAATTTAAAAGTTCACCAAATTGTAGTCTCCTCTGAAAATAGCCAAATTTTTGTGATGTTCTCTTTGTTAAATAAATGCATATGATATCTTTAATAATATATGTAAATTTCACAGGGCATATAAGATTTGGAATGTTTATGTAAAGTCAATATATTAAGGTGCACATAATTTAATAATACCAGCAATAGCAATTACTTAGATGTACGTTAAATGTGTGAGTGATATTAATGTGTCTATAGATCTGAAGGGTATGAACAGTAAGTGACTTTGTATATATTTCTCCCTTTCATTTAGCTTACTACTTATCTTTATTTTCCTTTCTTCTTCAATTGTTCTACAAAGTAATCATTACAAGCAACTGTCAGAGCTGCCACCATGACCACGAATTCATTAAAATCCACTTCATTGTCCTTATTGGCGTCCAGGTCCTGCATTATCTTATCAACCAACTGGGGATCCTTTTGGCACTAAAAAGAAAAAGAAAATCTCTAACTCTCAAGCTTGAGGTTTAAGACGACAACTGAAATTGCATCTTCCTTTACTTTTCATTTTAAGAGTTAAGGGCAATTCCCAAGAGCCTATCTGTGGAAAGGTTTGAGCCGGGCACACATTCTTAGAGAGCTGAGTCCTTATCTCAGGTTATATAATGCTGGCTCACACCTGAAGACCTAAAAGAGCAAACAGTAGTTGATCAAAGTGAACTACTGATGCTAGAAATGCATTATGGGTATCACAGCCCTGTGACCAAAGACAGAGGCTTTGACATCAGAAGGAGCCCTAGGGGAGCCCCACCATCTACTAAAAATGGCACGCTGAGGAATCACTTAACATTTTCAAATTTCTTTATTTATAAAGTGGGAGGAATAATATTTACCCACATACTTTGAGATACTTCAAGACACTTTGGCAAGTGGTTAGCACTGGCATTGCTAGATCTAGCCAACAAAAATACAGGATATTCAGTTGATTTGAATTTCAGATAAACAACAGATTTTTTAAAACACATATGCCCCAAGTATTGCATGGGACAGAGAATATTTATAGGCAACCCTACTTAATGCCACGGCCAGCACTCACGGAACAGCAACCGATGCAGAGTAGGTAAGGGTGACTCCAAGGCACAGGTGAAAGAAAAGCAAGGAGCCTGTGCAGGAGCTCGAGGTCATGAGGAGGCCTCTGTGTTCCCATGATCAGAGGTGAGGACAGATGGTTCTACAAGCCCTTCCCTTCCTCAAGAATTCCCCATTGCCCTCTCACTAGCTGATGGCCATTAAGTCATTGAAAAGTTAAACTGATCAAGATTAATTTGATCCAAACAATTCTAAATTTCACTTGAATATAGCAAGGTGCCAAGTTCCAAGTGCTACCCAACACAGTGGCCAAACAGAAGCTGAGAGAAGCAGATCCTACAGACTCTTGAAATCACTAAAAGGGTATTGAGAAGAATTACTGTCGAACCATTTTTTAGTTTAAACTTCTCCCATAGAGGATGGGGAGAAACGTGCTACAGTTTCATTTACTCCCATCCTAAAGGGTTGGAACAGTGACATCATGTGACAATAGCCCAGTGTAAAAGCCAGCCCGCATGACTCCTTAAACACCAGAGCAGGGGTGTCCTCGGAGGCATACAGATTCCCTGGACTCCTGGGTATTTTGAATCTGTCTGCCACCAGCTGGTCCCTACCCAGACACTTTTCATAACCCCAGTTGGTGTGTGCTTGACTGAGAAAGCTCTCAAAGTATTTGTCATTCACTAGCAAATTTGCTACCACAGCATAGAGTGCCCAGGCTGCATGTCAGACACAAGGCATAATGTTAATTTACAGACTTCTGGACAACATTCCAGGAATAATAAGCTATAATTCCTGGTATAATTAGCTATATTTTTGATTGCCTACCAAAATGTTCAGTAATGGATGAAAATGTCAATGTTATTGTCAACCCTCGGAAGCCCCTAGTCCCAAGCTGTATGGGAGAGGGTACCCACAGGCAGCATACACCAAAAATAAAGGTCCCTACTGCTTGCTTCCCCTGCACTTTGAGTCTCAATACAAACTGCACTGAGCTCTCAACAGAATCATAAGACAGGATGTCCCTGCAGCCCTTCCTCACTTGGCCCACCGAGTGTAGCAGAAGACCTGAGACTCACCGAGAGGAACTCCGTGAGCTCGCGCTGCAGGAGCAGCTTCAGTTCCCCTTTGTTGAGCTTGAATCTGTCCCCTTCCTTGCAAGAGTAGCGGTGGAAGATTCGAATCATGGTGTCCATGGCCATCTCCAGCTGGGTGGGCATGTTCGCAGCAAACCAGACCACGGGGAACAGGCAACCAAAGTGGGGACAGAGCCCTTCCTCAAAAGAAGCAGATGGGCACACATCAGCACTTTCATGAAGACAGATTTGTCCCTTCCCGGGGTCCAGACACTACACCATAGTAATCTTTCCATGGGAGACAGCGTCCCACCCTTCCAGGCAACGCTGCAGGCGAGGAGTCTCTCCTCTCTGACCCCCAAGCCCCCAAGATGATTCTAAGTTTCAGCAGGATCACAAGTCAGCACCAGACCACAGGCACAGAGCCACATTAAAACACAAAAAAGCAACTAAAAACAGGAAGAAAATGCTACCTTCGTACCTGTTCAGTCAGGACCCACTCAGCCAACAGGTGTTTACAATGAAGCTATGAGCAGTGATTCCTGGGTGTCCTCCCTGGCACACCTGTGCCCAACACAGGACAATTACCAGTGACACCCTGTGCACCTGTTTTTAATCAGCAGAAGGAACAGGTGTGAGCTGCTGCCCCAAGGGCCGTGGCGGGCCTGGTATCCGCTTTGTGCACTGGGGAAGCCAGGGGAGGGAAGGGGCAGCTGGCGGCCCCTCCCAGGGGAGCAGTGAGGGCTGCACAGGCAGTTGCTAGGATCTTGGGGGCTAGCAAGAAGTCTAAAACTAGAAGAGCAAATCCCATACCCTGGCCCAAGGCTAAGGGTGCCCCAGAATGGCCAGTAGAAAGGGCAGGGCAGGAACTACTTGGCAGCCTGGAGGGACTGACATGGGGGCATCATGAGGAGGGGAGCATGAAGGGGACCTCCGAGAGGGAGCCCTCATAGAGCAAAGTGTCCCAGAGAAGCCAAAGCCAGAACCGGCCACTGTGCTTTTAAGAGCTGCCTGTTTCTGGACTGAAATTTATTTCTACGGGAACGAGTATCACCTGCATCTTTCCCTTAAACAATCCAGGACGCCATAACTGCAACAGACCCATTCACCTCCCGTCTCAACGCTGGGCACTGCACTCTAAACTCCTGGCAAGGCCCTGGGATGCCTGAAGTCTGATTCTCAAGAACATTTTCAGCTTATCACTGTGGTGATCATGCATGTCATGAAATAATGGTGTTCTGAATATTCAAGAGTCTGAAGAAATCGAGATCCTTCTCCCCTTCTCCCACCCTAGAGCAAACTCAGGGACTTCCCGAGAGAGGGGCATATCTAGGAGATCGAAAGGCTGCACTGCCCGACTTTAATTCTCTCCTCTGCCACTGAGGAGCTGTGCGGTCTGCCTCGGTTTCCACACTGGTATAAAGGTGGTAGAACCTGCACAGTAAGGCGGCGCAAATGAGTTAAAGATGTTTCCAAGCACAACGCTATGCTTATGTCAGCTATCATTATCCTTGGAACAGTCATAGAAAGTATATTATTTATATAACTGCCACAAGTACATCTTTAAACATGCACCTATGTCAACAGCATCCATGTGCACATGCATCGATAGCGTCAAATGTGCACTCTTCCCTTACTTAGCGTGTCTGTAAAAGTCGTTCTCTAGTTCCTCAAGAAGCTGAGAATCGGATCTGGTGGCCTGCTTCTCAGAGCAGGGAACCCCCAAGAGAACGGACAGCTGTTTTCATAGCAACATGCGGGGACTCCACTGCCATGGAGCTGCGGGAAGATGGACACTGGCGCGGATGGATGGATGAAGAACACGTGAGACACACGGTGGAATACCGCTCGGCAGAGAAGAATAAAGTAGGGTCACTTTCAAGAAAATAGATGGAACTGGAGACAATCACATTACATGAAATAAGCCAGACCCAGAAAGTTAAATATATGAGCAAGCTAAGAAAATAAGCAGGGAGGGAATGCAGGGAAGCAGAAGACGGAGGATGAGCTGTGCGGGAGGAGTGGAAGGGCAAAGCAAGAGGGGTGGCGGGCGCGCCTTAACTGTGAGGCGTCCCATGGCTTGAGTCAAACTCCCTAGCAGGTTAGTAAGCTCTGGGGCGTCTGTGGGTGATTGACAGCTGGGACGAAAACAGAGGGAAGACTTGCCCCAGATGTGGGTGACACCAACCAACAGGCTTGTGGCCTGGACGGAATAAAAAAAGAAAGGAGTCTGCCCTTTTCTTCTTCAGAGGCGCTCTGGGCTTGGCCGTTGCTTTCGGATCTTAGCCTCCAGCTCCTCGGTCCGGGTCTGGGCTCCCCAGCCTTCCAGCAGAGACCCCTCAGCCTCAGATTCGCACCTCACTGTGCAGGGAGCGCCAGCTTCAACCTTCAGCCGGTTCTCCAGCCCTGCAGCCTGCAAATGGCCCTCTGCCGCCTTCCGCCTCTCACTCCTCAGGTGGCCACCGTAAGCCTGGCTGGCAAGTCTTCTGTACAACCATATATATTTTTTATTAATTAAATCTGCTCTCTAGGGAACCCAACAAACACAAACTGAAAATAATCAGAGTGTGTTCTGTGCATGTGCCAATATACCAAAGCAAAACCCATTCATTTCTGTTACTAATACAAGTGAAAAAATCTTCCTTAGCATACAGAGATCGACCCTAACGAAGTCACACATTATGCCAGGGAGGCATAATGGGAGGATGGACCTACATGTAGTTAAGAAACACCTATCACGTTCTTCTGTTATTCCAGGCGCTGTGGAAACAGGGCAGATGAATCACACCCTGCAGCAAATCTAATTGCTGTTTTTACTGGGTGTGTGACCCCGTCCACGTGTCCCTCTGGGCTTTGTGACCACACTTCCCTGGTTTCCTCCCCAGGTGCAAATGCATTTCCACTCTGCAGTGTTTAAATTGTTTCCCAGCGGCCCCTGCCACTTTTATAATTCAGCCACTCCCCAAACCATATTCTTTACCCAGATTTCTGTACTAAGCTCCAGAGCAATGTATACATTTGCCTGCAGAGCCCACAAGCTTTCCAAACTCAGTTAGGATCAAAATAAAATGCCTTCCCCTTTCCCACCCAAACCTACTGCTCCACCTATAAGAACCACCTTGGCTTTGCTGTTCCACGGTCGCCCCGGCTTCTCGCACCATCTTTACATGTAGTTCAGCGTGTCCGCTCCTCTCCATTCTTCCTGGCCATCAGGACTTGTGGTCTCTGCTCTCTCCTAGGCAGGCTGTGGTCCTCCATCCCAATCTCCATTCTGCTGCCAGAGTAGCTGATTGGGAACACAAATCAACACCCACACTCCTGGGCATCCAGAGGTCTGGCCCTGCCTGGCGACTGCCCAACGTATTGGGCTCTCACATTCTGCCTGGAGAGCTGAGTGTGCCTCCTGCTTGCAGATTCCGGTCAAGCATCACCTCCTCTTGCAAGTTCTGAATTCTTCCTGATCCTCTTCCAACGGCCCACCTTGTCCCCTCTCAGCCCTGCTGTCTCTTCTTGTCTTCCTTATCACCACACATTCCTGTGACCCCTTGTCTGTGCTTTGCCGTACACTCCCCACTCACCAAAACCAGACTGAGTTCCTGGTACCAGGGCCAATGTCTGGGCTGTCTTTGCAGTCCAAGGTGTGGGATGTGACCAGTACACGGAAGCGCTGAGGGACCCTTGTGCGTGGGTGGCCAGAGGGGCAAGGGAATCAGAGGGAAATGCTAAGGTCCCCCAAGAGCTAACTGTTAATTAGTTGACTGCCTTATTCCACATAAAAATTTTTCTTCATCAGAGGCTGAGAGAAGGCAGAGAACAGTCATCTTGAGGAACAGAAAGATTTTGAGTTTGGAATTAAATATTACCAGGTTCAATTGCTGAAGTTATAGATGAATTAAAATCAACAAATCTACAAGAGTGTGTGTTTGCAGGTGGTAATACATTTCAATGACATCTCCCACAAAAAGATTTACTCAGAGAATTCTTAATGGAAAAGACATTGAAAAAAAAAGAAAGAAAAGAAAAAAAAGAAAAGACATTGAAAGTTGTAGTGCTGTCTTGGGTTCGAGAGATAAAGGTCTGACTTTTACAGCCTCTGCCCTTGGGGCTGAAAAGCCAGAGGTTCCTTTCTATGTGGCTGTGGGAAGCTGTTTCACCTAGTGCCTGCTGCCACCTAGTGTCAGACTCTGGGGCTGCTTGGGGGGCCCTCTAATCCCAGCATGCACTTCTGATTTATTTTTCTGCACACCAGGAATATTTCAGAAAGGAAGTAAGGTAAAAGGATCAAGGGGCTCTACAAATGACAAGTGACATGGAATCCCAAGTTATGGGGAGACGTCTGTTTATAGCACGAAGGACCATCCTGTGCACCTTGCTTGATCTATCGATTATTAATGTTCTATTTCCCAACTTTATTATTGATTATCACTTTTCAAGTCATGATACTTCGAGCTAAAATGTCCAATTTAATATTCAAGTTAGTATGTAGCGCAAGAGGAAATAGCCAGGCGTGGTGGCACATGCCTGTAATCCCAGTACCCAGGAGGCTGAGGCAGGCAGGAGGATCCCTGCGAATTCAAGGCCAGCCTGGGTTACATAGTGAGTTCAAGGCCAGCCTGTACTACGTTAAGCCCAGTTGGCTGTCATTAACTGACCAGCTGACTGACTGTCAAACCTGAATGCCCACACATGAGCGCTCTTTAGCCAACTTTGGCTATTTTCTATACATTTGACATTTTCTTTAGTGAAAAGTTCACACAGATGCTGTGTCAGTCAGCTTTCCCTTACGGTAACAGACACTGAGATAAATCAACTTAGAGTCAAATTAGAACATGGAGGGGCTCATCTTGGATTACAGTCTCGGGTCTCGGCCTGTGTGGAGGCAGCCCTGGGGAATGGAGTGCGTGGCAGAGGAGCCTTGCACTGTCGGGGGAGCGGAAGGTGGAGCGGGAGACCCACAGCCCCTCTGAAGATGCAGTGAGGACGGACTTCCCACTGGGCCTCTCCTCCTAAGGCTCTCACTTCCCAGTGGAATCCTTAGGGTTCAGACCTAGACGGGCCCCCAGGAGTCTCTTGCGTCCCAAGGTGGGGACCGTGAAAGGTAACTGGATCGCGGGGTGCTCCGCTGCAGTGGATTAATCTACCCCAGAGTTCAGAGCCGCCTGTGCTCTTAGGAGGTGGGTCTGTTAGAGGCGGTCTCTCCGGGGTCACCTGGAGGATGCCGCTCCCTCCCGGGCTGCTCCCTTCTCTCTCTGCGTCCGATCTACACGGCAAGAGCGGCTTCCCCTCCCCCACACCCTTCCGCTGTGCCCTTCCTGCCTTGGGGCTGCTGAAGATAGACTGTGTACTCCAAAGGCTCTGAGCCAATAAACCTCTCCTCCTTTAACTGGTGAGTGCTGGGATTTGTGTCCTAGTGATGAAAAAATGACTAAGACAAGCACCAACCTGGGAACCATGCCCTTAGTACAATGGAGTATTACTTAGCCATAGAAAAGCACAAATTGGGGTCATTTTTAAGAAAATGTATGAGCCTGGAGATCTTAACGTTAAGTGAAATAAATCAGCATGAATACCCTATGACTTCTCTTATATGAGAAACCCAAAGTATGAATTTAAGGAGCAAAATAAAAGATAGATATACAAACTAGGAAGATAGATTCCCTGCAAATGGGAAGGGAACTGAAGCCGAAGGAAGGGGCGGGGAGAGGAGAGGAAGGGGAGGTGGGAGGTGTGATGTGCGTGTACCAGCCTCCCACGAAGAATGCAATCAATATGTACAACAAGCATGTACGATAAATCTACAAACCTAAATGGTAACACACACACACACTCCTCACGCCGGTCAGAGTGAAACAAAAAGTTAAGAGAGATAGAATTATCCTGCCAAAGGAAAAAATGTAATTTAAAGGGCATTGCGTATATGAACTACTGCAACCAGATGAATGAGAATAACAATATCAAAGAATTAAAAAGTTCCTAACCTCCAAAGCTGTTAAACACTGCCACTGTTGGGAGCAGAAGAGCTAAGGAAATGTGGGAGGAGGGTGGAACAGTTTTGTATCCTGATGACTAAGAAATAGAACAGGGATGCTTATTTAGTGCCCAAACATACTCTGAGGCTGAAGAAAGGGAAATCTTGGTATTGACCAGCCATCCTGGCCATTCCAGAGAGGTGCCGGCTGCTCCAGGCTGCTGGGCTGCGTGGCAGGGTGCTGAGCTGTGTCTGGGCGGAGCCAGGTCTGAGCGCAGTCTGTGCTCCACACGCCGTTCAGGACTGGGTAGCCCCTGGTGCCCACAGGCTCCTCCAACACCTGCGTGGGGTTCACACTGCTGTGAGTGAGACAGCTCTCCAGAAGTACTCACTTCTGATTTTGGAAGGTTTGGCTCGCAAGGCAAAGCCCTGCTGAGAGAGGTCTGCTTAATTAGATGCCCTCAATGATTTCTTCAGACCCCCAAGGTTCCCATAGCCAGCAGGACTCTCCGGGCTGAACTCCAGAATGCAACCCCCACCCCTGGCCGAGCCTCCCAGCCCTACCCAGGCCCGCTGGGAGTGACACAGCCTCCGGGAGAGGTTACTGTCCTTTTTTGTCAATTTCTATTTTTATTGGTACATGCTGACAATATATAATGCTTACATCCTTTTTTTTGGCAAGCATCAGATTTATTTATTTTATAAGACTTTATCAAGTTAATTATCATAAACACATATTAACAGCCAGACTAACAGGCCAAAAAACATATAAAACACATACAACATATCCAGTAGTTTTAGGCTCTCAATAAACACCAGAGGGGGGCTGGGGATTTAGCTCAGCGGCAAAGCACCTGCCTGGCAAGCGCAAGGTCGTGAGTTC